TACTTTTCTAGGAAAAGCAGGAGGGAGCAGCAGTTATCTGAGGATTCTAGGACGCCGTCTGTACACTATGCCTCTCACACTCTTACTCACAGCGCATTCTGATTCGGAGGTGGGAGTCTGAAGTTTTACTAAGCTTTCAGATGGTGCAGACCCCACTGGCCTGTGGCCCCCATCTGAGCATCGAGGACTTAGGAAACCCTGGAGAGAAATAGCAAGCTGAACACACGGTTCCAAGTAAGCAGGTGCCGCAGCGGAAGCTCTTGATCGTGACTCAGTGAGAGAATATATAAAGCCGACTCCCAAGGTCAGTGAACATGTACAGGCAAGTACACATGAAAGCCCAGGACGATGCTTCAACATCGGTCCAGCTACTGAGAGTCTGCGAGATCAGAAAGCATGAAGCATATACTCTCTTTCCCAGCGGAGCCCGTGTTTACGCATCGGGAAGAGCTCCGTGCGAGGATTGTTGTGTCTTGTCTCTGCCCCGAAAGCTGTCACGGCAGAGTTGATAATCAATTATTGCTTTACACGTATAAAGTAGGTTAAGTTGTCATAATTTGCTCAGCCAGGGATCCTGGGCTGTCAAAGAATGTCACTTTCTAATCTGACATAGAGAAGAAAATGATCTGTTATTTTGACCTCTAATTTCCTGACATTTTAATGCTATAATTACAGCAGTTAGTGCCACTTCATGATTTTACCTGCCAGGGAAGAAAGAATCAACCATCTTAAGTCATTGCTCAAGATTTAGCGCTAATTTCCAAGCTCAAAGTCGACGGCAGACAGGGGAACACGTATCTTTTACAAGGAAGACATATGTAGATATTCTTATGTTAAGTATTTTGAGGTTAAATTGGTGTTTAATGTAAACATTAAAGATAAACAAGCCCAACTTGCTCAGGCTCTGTGGGGTTCAGAGTGAGCCCTATCGTGACTGTCACCAGATGCCTTCCTTTGCATCTGTCTTATGACACATACAAGTTCACTGCTTAAGAAGCACTGAGACCAACATTGTTGTCATTTGTTGAGTACCACTGAGTCATTCTGAATCATAGTGACTTTGTATAGGGTTTCCTAGGAGCAGATGGTGGGTTTGAACTGCTGACCAGACTGATGTTAGTTAGCAAGTGGAATACTTTCCCGAGCTTGATAAAAGGGTCCCTATTAGGAATGTAGAATGCTGGTATGCCTCTGTGCACTAATGCACTGACTGCAAAGTCAGTGGTTCAAGCTCACCAGCCGCTCCTTGGAAACCCTATACAGGGTTGCTAGAACCAGCTCGATGGCACTTCACAACAGCAACGACATTTGGAATGTGGATTTTCAAAGAACCTGACATTCCGGATCTGCTCTTTGTAGCCACATTGAGGGACACAGAGATAAAGAAGTGTACCTCAGTGTTCTGGAAAACGAAAAATCAAATAAGAAGGTACCATAGAGACCTACTCTCAGGAACTCTTAAGATCCCAAAGCTGCTGTTGTCGAGCGGACCCTGAGTCACAGACACTCCACAGGACAGTAGGACTGCCCAGAGGTTCTGAGGCCGTGATCCGGTGGAAGCGAATGGCTTCATTTTCCTCCTGAAGAGTGGTTGGTGGATTTGAACCACTGACCTTTGGACTATCAGTCCACCAAATCATGATACACTCCCCAAACCACTAGCTACAGGGCACGCTCCTATGCCAGCTTTAACGTTGGGGAGCACAGGGTGTTTACTATCTCACAAAATGATAGTGGTTCTAACCTACCAGCCACTCTATGGGAGAAAGTGAGGCAGTCTGGGAACCCTCTGTGGAAGTTCTATTCTATCACACAGGGTCATCTATTGTGTCATCTAGGCTGTCATCTATTGTGTCACTATATACTCTATAAGATGATCTATAAGAGTATATACGAGTATATAGTGACACAATAGATGACAGCCTAGGAAACCCTGTGGGGCAGTTCTCCTCCGTTACACCAGGGGGCGCTGTGAGTGGATGATCTATAAGAGTATATACGAGTATACAGTGACACAATACATGACAGCCTAGGAAACCCTGTGGGACAGTTCTACTCTGTTACACCAGGGGGCGCTGTGAGTGGATGATCTATAAGAGTATATATGAGTATATAGTGACACAATAGATGACAGCCTAGGAAACCCTATGGGGCAGTTCTCCTCTGTTACACCAGGGGGCGCTGTGAATTGGAATCAACTCAATGGCTGTGGGTTAAGCCCAAAAAAGTCTGCGCCATTGAGCTGATTTTGATACTAAGAGACCCTGTAGAACAAAGCAAAACAGCTCCATAGGATTTCTGAGACTGAATATCTGTCCTGGCGTGGCATTATAGTATAAAGCACTAGACTGCAAGGTTGGTTTGAAACTCAAGATCAGCAGTTCATACTCACTAGCTGATCCTGGGAAATCCTATTCAGGGTCGCTATGAGTCGGAATCAACTCAATGGCACTTAACGGCAACATACATATGTATATATACATGGTGGTGGTGATGTGCCGTGGAGTCACTTCCGACTCATAGTGACCCTGGTACAGGGTTTCCGAGGCTGTAAATCTTTACGGGAGCAGAATGGCTGATCTCAAGATTAGCAGCCCGATTTGTAACTGCTATGCTACCGAGCTCTCTCTCTCTCTCTCTCTATACGTTTGTTTGTGCATTTATATATAGACCTGATAAGAGCATATGATTTACAGAAGCAGGTATCTTACAGGACTCAAATAAACATGTGACCTTGCCAAGAAAGGTCCTAATTCTCTCACACGTGACTCAGTTTTTGCTCATTTCAGCCTGAAAATTTGCTACTTGCCTGTCAGTTCTGTTGCTACTTTGCGGTCTCACCAAATACAAAACATTTAATAGACATTTCCTGGGCCCGACAGGAGTCACCTGCAAACTTCTTCACACAGAAAGCACTTTATAATGAGTGGAAACGCACAACAAAATATTTAGGAGCAAAAGTGCCCAAAACAAAGAAAACCCAATTGGATCTTGGAACATAAGCTATCTTAACAACTGTTTTTTCTTTCTGATTGTGAAACGTATTGATTCTACCAAGAACATTTTGTTTGTAAGGCACTGACAGGGCTGGGCATGTTTTAAGGAAGAATGTACTGTTAAAAGAAGAATCAGGCCCAGAACTTTAAAATAATCTGACTTCAGCTTGTCCACAATGGAGCTGGGGGAGTGTACTTTTTTTTAACCATTCCATGGCCCATGGGACATACAGAGCCCACTTACATTTTCCACCTCTGGAGGTTAGTGAAGGAGCCGTGGTGGCACTGTGGGCTAAGCATTAGGCTGTTAAATGGTGGGTCAAAACCACCAGCCGCTCTGAGAGAAGGAAAAGGCTGTCTGCAGCAGTAAACATGGACAGTTTGCTCTGAGTGAGGGGAGACTAGATGGCAAATTTGGTTTAGGGTTTAGTGGGAAGCTGCTGTCCCACTTATAGCGCATGCTACTATCTGCTGGGGTTTGTATAACTGAGTAAGAACTGGCTTGCATCCCACCAAACCCAGCACCAGGGGCCACTTGGGACACATGTGTCCCATTAATTGAATCAGAATTTTTATTACTTCCCAACAAAGTTTTTTCACATTCATTAAAAATGTATTCTGTTATTGAAAACACATGGTTTCGGTAAAAGGCAGAGGAAGAAACCAACAACCCAGAGCAGAAAATCTTCTGGTCTTGGGAAGGTTAAGCAGAGACAATCCTTCCCTCACTAATGACTTCCTGTCCTCTAGTCTCTCATGTGTCATTCATGGTCTGCAAATGCTCTGTCCTGTTTCCTGCTCAGACGGCATGTCACAGGCCACCCTAGCAGCACGTGTACCGTTCTCAGGAGTCCTGTGGACGCAGCGCTTTCTTTGTAGAGCGACGCCATGTATACGGAATGACCTCACCACTGTAAATGTGGCTAGTCGGGCTCCATTCCCTTAATCTGTGTGGTTTTCCACCTCTAAAAGGAAACACTAAATACAGCCGCAAGACAGCCTCCACTGCCTGTAAATGTGGCTGCCACGGCCGGTTCTCCATCGAGCAGATGGCAGCTCCGGTGGAACCGAAGGCTAGACTGTCACTTCCTCCAGCCACACTCACCTGACAGCTGCCACGTTCACTCCCACCTGAGACGGTTTGTACAACGTGGGAGGGATTCAAATCGCACTTTGTATGAATCTGTTCGCCAAAGTCCCACATGTAATGCAGTATGCCACCCCTCTACTGCAGATGTGTTCGTCTCAGGATGAGAAAAGCTGAGCACACAACAGTATAAGCTATCCCTGGTGTGGCGCTGTGGGTTAATGTGCTGGACCGCAATGTTGACTTGCACCATAAGGATGGCAGTTCAAGCTCACCAGCTGCTCCTTGGAAACCCTACACAGGGTCACTATGGGCTGGGATCGACTCAACAGCACTTAACAACATTTCAGGGATGCTGGATTCTGACTATCCTGTCTCAAAGGTTTCAATTTTGCTTTTCTTTAAAACACACGGACAGATTATTTTAATGTGAAATCTTGCCAAATGTCTGTGGTGCAGTCGAGTGGATTCCGCCTCGATGACCCACGTGGAACTGCCCCCTAGGGTCTCCTAGGTGGTCACTGTTAGAGGAGTGGATTGGCAGGTCTTTCTCCTGAGGAGCAGCTGGCTGGCTTTGAACCACTGACCTTTCAGTTAGCTTTTGAGTGTTTAACTGTTATGCCACAAAGGATCCTTAAATATGTCTCATTCATTAGTAACATGTGTAATATATATTGGCATTGTATTGAAGACTCTGAAGTAAAACCAAACGGGAACACTGAAGCATTTTCTACACAGGGGAGCTCTAAAAAGGCCCTGGAAAATGGAATAGAGAGAATGAGATTCCCCCTGAATGCCCTGAAGCCCCCTCGGATGTCTACGACGCTAGTTTGTCGGAGATATGATGTGGCTGTGTCCTAAGAAGTTATGTCGTGAGGACGTGCATGTGGGAGGGACGCGCGGTGCTCACCACCTACCTCCCTGAGCCCGGGGTCCGTGATGCTGTCCAGATTCACGGAGCCCTCGTAGGTTAAGTAGTGGAAGACATTCAGTGCCCGCACGGCTTCAGGCCCTCGCTGCTTGTAGCCAAAGGTGAGGTCAATCCACTGGTGGAGCTGGCAGGACACAAACTCACTTTCCAGGGCCTGGGGTGGGTCAGGAGAGAAGGAGAGACCCGCTGAGTTGGGCTGAGCTACACACCGTTTCGTAGGCTGACGTATTCGGTATGCAAGGCCTGGGGGAGTGGGTTCCCCACAACCAAGCCAAAGGGGCAGCATCTGCCCCCGAGCACAGCTCAGCAGGCAGGCAGGGGCAGGAAGGAAGGTGAACCGAAACGGGGAGTCCAGGGCTGAGGCGGAAACGGGCTGTTGTATAGAGGGATTGGCAGTCAACGTCATGAAGCAGGGTGTGTGTAAGTGTTGGACTAATGTGCTCTGCAACTTTCACCGACACACACATACATACACACACACACACCTGCATCCAGGAAGTGAAGTGGTCTTTACATGCCATCTCCATGGAGCTGAGATGGCAGGATAACACCTCTAACACAGCACAGGGTTAGAGGAAAATGTACTTTTTCTACAATGCTTTACTTCGTCTTGACTCCATTACGTATGCGGACGCTGTTAGGTGTTGTCAAATTGATTCTGTGTCACGGTGCCCCCATGTGAAGGGTACAAGTGCCCCATGGGACCAGCTCCAGGCCTCTCTGCTTTGGAGCGGCGGGGTGGTTCTGACGGCCCACCTTCAGGTTAGCAGGTGAGTGCTCAGTCACCGGGCCACTGGGCACCTTTCCGTTACTTATGGTGTGCTGTCGAGAAGCTTCGCTGTGTATACAGCGACCCTGCCTCGGGTTTCTGGGGCTGTATGTCTTTATGGGAGCAGAAAGCCTCATCTTTCTCCCATGGAGCGGCTGGTGAGACTCGAACTGCTGACCCTGCAGTTGGCAGCCCAACATGTAACACCGTGCTGCCAGGACTGCTCATGTATGAGGGTTAGTGAGGGGGCCTTGGGAGGCTAAATGGAAGGTTGGCAGTTCAAACCCATGAGCCGCTCTGAGGGAGAGAGATGGGGCTTGTCTGCTCTGGTAAAGCCTGGCAGTGTCCACTCTGTCCTACGGAGTCACTATCAGTCCCCGCTGACTTGGCGGCAGGGCGCTGTTGGTAGGAGAAAATAGAACTGATGAAATTTACTGTAATTCTGTTACATTCAAACGATTTTTGAATAAAATGCCTAATGCAGTCATGAGGGATAAAAAGAATCATTCTTCACTGATTTGATTTTTAAATTTTTATTTATTCTCCTTCATCTCCATTTCCTACTTTCTTTTAAAATTACGTAAAAAAAATCTATTTCTATATTATAATATTTTAAAACACTTGTTATATTTGCCCTATTCTAATAGACTCCTGGTATGGTGCTGTAGGATCAACACTGGACTGTGAATCACAAGGTTGGCAGTTCAAACCCACCATCCCCTCCTTGGAAACCCTATATAGGGTCACTGTAAGTCAGGACCGACTTGATGGCACTTAACAACAACAATAATATACATACAAGAGTCGTGACGTGGTGCTGTAGGATAAGCACTGGACTGTAGGGTGGGTTTGAACTGCAAGGTCAGCGGTTCAAACTTGCCAGCTGCTCCTCAGAAACGCTATACAGGGCACCTATGAGTCAGGCCCGACTTGATCGCACTCAACAACAACAAATATACACATATAAGCTATTATAAGGAGCTCTGGTAGCACAGCGGTTATGAGGTCCACAGTTCGACACTACCAGCCGTTCCATGGGAGAAAGATGAGGCTTTCTGCAGCCTCAGAAACCCTGTGCAGGGTCATTATAAGTCAAAGCTGACTCCATGGCACCTAACATATATATATACACACACATATATATAATACCCATATTGTTGTTGTTGGGTTGTGATGTGCCATGGAGTCGATTCCGACTCATACCGACCCTGTACAGGGTTTCCGAGGTTGTAAATCTTTACGGGAGCAGAAAACCTCATCTTTTCTCCCTCAGAACAGCTGGCAGTTTCAAACTGCTGACCCTGAGGTTAGCAGCCTGATTTGTAACCACTATGCTTTGTTGTTGTTGTTGTTAAGTGCCGTCGAGTCGGTTCCGACCGAATAGGATAAATACAAATAACAGATTTTTTAATGTAATTAAAAATTATGAATAGCTATGAACTTGGAAGTTTTAAAAGGATAGTGATGATGAACTTGACCTACACCTATGGATGCAGTAGCTCAAAAAAGGAACAAATCTTTACAAGGATTATTCCCACACCCTCCATACACAGAGTAGACAGGGATGGGCAACTTGGACATTGGCTACTCAAAGTCGGGGGCCTACAAAGGCAAGAAGTGACTGGTTTACAAGCTTTCAAGAGGGAACCTAGATCCAGAGGGCGTGGCGGAAGGTAGAATCTCCACTGAGTGGTATCCAATCTGTCTGGGCGGGGCTGATGAAATGAAATGCAGTTAGTCTCTTGTGATACAATAGTGAATAATTGTTATCAGGACTGCTTGTGAGGGTTGGAAATGTAAAGATAGATGTTTTGGAGCAAAAAGAGGGGAATGATTGACTTTGCCATCTAGGAGCGGAGGTCCCTGGGGCCAACAAGGGAAAAGAGTGGAGAGCAGGACCCTACCCAGAGAAGCAGTGACACAACGCCAGAGATGGAGGCAGAGACGATGACGTGGAGAGATGGAGCAGCTGGAGACTTTAGACCCAGAAAGGGAGAGGGGCTGGGTGCTGACGACCAGGGGGCAGGCTTGCAGGGTTGATGATGCATGGAGAGGATTGTAACCATGGCAATGAAACAATATACGATAGGATAAATGTAAAACTAATGTTCTCCCATGTAAACTGTCAGATAATTCACAATAAAACACACACAAAAAAAATAGTGAGTCAACAAACAATGAATTGTGGTTAAACAGTTTTGTCTGCTTTTAAAAAAAGCAAACAAACCCCCAACCATTTCCAGAAGACAATAAACAGCCAAGAAACAGTTGCGTGTGGGACTGAATCCTAGCAGACCGTCTCACCGTGGCTCTGTCTTGTAGTCAGTCACGGTACACAGACAGGAATCCCACTTGGAACGTTTCGAGGCTGACTCTGGTTCTAAACCCACTGCAGATCTTAGGGCCCACTCTGCGATGCCACCTAGCAGGAAGTCTGATTTATTCATAGAGGAATTCCTTTATGAATGAAGCCATGTGCTTTGCTTGTCCCTTTCAGATCTGCGTCTCTATGCACAAACCCAGTGTGGATTCTGAAACAAGATGCTAGTACAAACCCAGTTAAAATATTAAGAAAACTCGATGTCCAAGCTACTGGGGGTGTGGTGGTCTTAATAGCTGCTCTACCTCAGATTTGCGTGGCCGATGGCAGGAACAATTGCTTTACGCTTAGATAAACCAATTCTCAATCCATAACCGGACCCTGGGGAATGGCAGACAGAAAGGGTACCTCTTAGATGGATAATACGAATCTAATTCTCATTTCCATTTTTGTCCCAGGGGTATTAGATGATAGCGAATTCCTTCCTAGTGCATTTGGGAAAAAGCGTTCTGAAACTTAAGAAAAAGGAAATGAGGGTCTTGGAATGCACTGTGGAGAGAGAATGTTGATTTCCCTGGAATTCTTTTACTTACGAATCTTTTATTCAGACGCCTCGGCTCCTCCTTCAGACCAGAGGAAGAGTATTACCTGCCCCTTCCTCTGCTTGCCTCACAATCGGCCTTTGAAAATAATTGTTAAATTCTCTGGTGCTGCACACATTCAAGCAGACGGTCAGAGCACTTCCTGTGTCCGGGTGATGCCAGCTCACCATCGTGGTTACACTGAAGGAAGAGCTGTCCCCCACTGAAGGACGCAGTTACTTTAAGGAAAGAAGACGTCCTTGTTTTGAAGGTGTCCTTGGGGTTTGTGATGCTGTTGAGCCGACTCCTGGTGACCCTGGGTGACAGTCTCCACAACAGCAGATCATCAGGGTGGATGAGAACTGACAACCTTTCAGTGTGCAGCTTAGCGCTTAACCACGGCATCACCAGAGCTCCCCACCCTCATTAACTAATGCTAACCTAGTGCCTGCTGTTCACTGTATGCGGCCCCCCAAGCCCACTGCTGCCGAGACGAGTCTAGGACAGAGCACAGCCCACAGTGTCTCCAAGGGAGCAGACAGCCAAGTCTTATCTCTCAGAAGTGCCTGGTGGGTTCGAACCACCGCTCTTTCAGTTAGCAGTTCAGTGTTTTACCACTGCACCACCAGGGCTCCTCTTAGCCCTACATGTTGTTGTGTCGTGCCATTGAGTCAGTCCTGACTCATAGCAACCCTGTCTAGGGTTCCCAAGGCTGTCAATCTTTATGGAAGCAGAGCCACATCTTTGTCCCACAGACCGTCTGGTGGGCTTGAACCACTAACCTTGTGGTTCGCAGTCCAGTGCTTATCCTACAGTGCCAGTAGACTCCCTGGGGTGGGAGGCCGCCCACTCACTCATTCGCCAGATACCAATGACCACCTGCTCTGCACTGGACACTAGTCTGAGAAGGCCAAGATGGCACCTGTGAACTGTGGCAACTGAGCGAGGAGCTGGACAGAGGGGCCTCGCTCACCAACCGCGTGGACGAGACAGGACTTCTGCTGTCCAGCACCATGTCCCACTGACCAGGGCTGGGGGGTGAGGGGTGGGGGGTGGGGGAAAGCTGGAGCTTCTGTTTGTTGTTGTTAGCTGCCATCAAGTCGGTACTGACTCATAGCAACCTTACGCACAGCAGAACGAAACACTGCCCGATCCTGGGCCAACCTCACTACTGTTGCCATGCTTGAGTCCATCGATGCTGCCACTTGGCCAATCCATCTCGTTGGAGGTCTTTCTCCTTTTCTCTGACCCTCCACCTTACCAAACATGTTATCCTTCTCCAACGACTGCTCCCTCCTGACAATATGTCCAAAGTATGAGAGACGAAGTTTGGCTATCTTGGCCTCCAAGGAGCACTCTGGCTGCATTTCTTCCAAAACGGATCTATTGGTTCTTTTGGCAGTCCATGGCACTTTCAGTATTCTCCTCCAACACCACAATTCAAGGGCATCAATTCTTCTATGATCTCCCTTATTCACTGTCCA